CCTCGTATATTTTGTTACACACTCAATCACCATTTGCTATATTTATTCACTTTAACCAACTTATCTTATCAGTTCTATCTTATTCTCTGACTCTATTTCTCTTTGGGCACCTTTCCATAAGACACACCATTTTTTTAGGAGAAGAAAACAGGAAAATATAATCTGTTTTCTTCGCTCCATAAGACGCACAGACTTTCCATCCCCCTGTTTTGTGGGGGGGAAGTGCGTCTTATGGTGCAAAAAATACAGTATCTTTATTAATATCAGTTCTATCTTCTCTGACTATCTATTTCTCTTTGGTCTTCAACCTCTCCTTCACACCTCGCACTCTCCTTCTCTAACTCACTAACTGACTGACTGAATGACCTCGCCCCACCAGTCCTCTCATAAGCTCATGCAAATGAGCTCCAGCTATGAGTGACAGGAGTGACATGGGCATTCGTCACATATCCCCCCCCAGGAAAAGTTTGTTTCATGGGGGAAACCTTATAATGTACCTCATGAACAACACAATAAGTAGTGAACAATTTATTCCAAACATTTTCACAATACTATTACAAGTTACAGTGGTGCCTCACTTGACGATGTTAATTTGTTCCAACAAAATCGCTGTAGAGTGTAAAACATCGTCAAACAAAATGAAAAAACCCATTGAAACGCATTGGAAACTGTTCAGTGTGTTCCCATGGGCTGAATACCTGCTTGTCCAACGAAGATCCTCCATACAGCGGCCATTTTCAGTGCCTGTAAAATGAGGAATCCGTCCTAGAAAACAGCAGGGAGCCATTTTGAGCAGCTGGTGGCCATTTTGAAACCTGACAATCAGCTGTTTGCTGATCGCCATAAAGCAAAAATTCGTTCCCAAAGCAGGGAACCGATCATCGCTAAGCGAAATTCCCCCATTTAAACAATCGTTTTGCAATTTCAGAAGCAATTGCAAAAACATTAATGTAATGCGGATTCGTCGTGGAGCGGGGTAATCGTCCAGTGGGGCACGACTGTACTCTTTTACACAATATTTTTCTTATATCTATGCATATGTGCTATTATCGATTACTATTTAGAGCAAATTAATTAATTTAAACATTTAAACCAGTCATTACAATTA